ATCGGTTAGACTTATTATAAAACTATTGTGTTCGCATTTAGTTATGAGCATGTAAAAAGTCTATTAAAAGTTGCATATATAATGAGATACAACTCAAAAATATATTTATAAGTGGGAGGTGTCTGTCTCAATACAAGCCGAATTTGTAACATTAAGTTAAGTTCATTCAAACAAATTATAATGCTAATTAAGTTAATGCTCAGACAAAACAATTTTAGAATATTAGCAAATAGGTAAGTTTAAAGATTGTTTTATTGTGGTCAACATCTCATCTTTACTTCTTGTGTAAACCTATCTTGAAAGCATCAATCAAGTGAATTCACATGATAAACCTAAAACCAAGTGAAAATAAGTAAAATAATATTGCAACTTACACACCTAAAACCATGTGAAGCCATGTAAAATAATATTGCAAGTAGCAATAACACCCTAGAGTCCAAAATTCTCCACTGTATATAAACAAACATTATACCTTGTTCATAATCTAGTTTAGGAGAGTATGACAAAGACTAATGCCAATGTTTTAATTCTAAATTGGCTAGTTTTTGTTGCATTACTCATTACATTGTTTGGTGGTGCCAAAGCTATTTTAATATGTAAGATTGACACAAATAAGCTAGACTCATGCAATGCAGCAATAACTGGGAGAAACCCTCCAAAACCAAGTGCAAAATGTTGTGCAGTGATTAAAAAGGGTGATTTGTCTTGCCTTTGCAGATACAAGTCTCTTCTACCTGCACTTGGAATCAACCCTGCAAAAGCATTGGCCTTGCCAAGAAAATGTGGTCTAAAAACACCACCAGGATGTAGAGGTAATTAACCTTGAATAGACAGGTTTTATTTTTTATTTCGGTATCAGTGTTTTGTGACATGTTATTCTTTATTTTGCAGGGACTTGAAGCAATTATTGAGAATCACTTATCTTAGAAATGGTTAATCAAGCATCCTCTAGCCTACCCCTTCAAATAAATTAGTTGCTTTTCAATTTGAGTACCTTTTCCATGTATGTATGCAAGATGTATGATGTATAAGTTTCCTATCTATTAAACTTTACGTAGTTATTTGATGTACTAAAATATCATGAAACATAATGTTTTTCACTCAATAACAAGAATTCCAAAACAGTGGCGTTGAAGCCACTTAATCTTCAAAACTGGATTAAAGTGGATCATCATTTGTTTTCCAACTTTCAAGTGCATCTCTTAGATATCCAATATGATTTGTTGAATTTCTTTGCTAACACTCTATAGGGTCAGGGTTAGAGCAAGGTCCTCCAAATATATGTCTCATGTAGGCATCATCGAACTTCCTCCAATAGTAATGTATGGTGTACACTGGACTTTCTATTAACATAGATAGGCTTTCCTTTGCTCGACTAATGTTGGTTTCTGTTGACTCATGAAAGGATAGTAAGGGTAGATCCAACTCCCCAACTGGTGACCACGACCCCGATGATTCTTCATGTCTAGTGTCTATCCTTGTTACATGGTGGGGAAGAAGATATCTAACAAGTGGTTTTATGAGACAACCAAACACCTACAATGCCATCATTTTGGTGATATTGAAACATTCTAAAAATGAAAAGATAATTTGCTTGAAGCTCCATCATGAACTTTTCTAACTTGTTATCGGTTGCTACTAAGATTAAGAGCTTATAGGAAAAAACTGATGTCTCACTTTAGACCATTGTTTTAAAAATAAGACCATAACGGTCTGATTTCTAGTCCAATTTATAAAATAATGGCCTAAATTGAGCATATATAAATCTAGACAATCCTCATCTATCAAATCTATCGATGGAGAAAAAAAACTCACCAGTGTGGTGAAAAGGACATCAATAATGGTGTTGGTAATCATTGTCGCTTTAACCGGATCTGAAGTAACCCCAGAGAACGTGAACTGCATAAACAAAAAAAAATGAAAATTCAATGGTACTCATTATGCTACACTGGTATATAACTAGGATGTCTAGAAATGAAAACGTCCTGAACATACCTGTTTGAAAGCCAAAGCGATGGAGACTGCTCCCCTCATTAGTCTAGCCTACCAAATGATTATCTGCATCATTCACAAAACACAAGAAACTAATCTAAAAAACTATTTTCTCAGAGATAACTGTGACACTACAAGACTATCATATAGAACAGGAATAGTAACCTGGTGTTGTAATATGATACTCGGTGTTTCTTCGACGCGCCTATTCATATAATTGAAAAGTGTGGAGAGGGGGAAAATAAATGCAGCCCTACCAAGCAATATTAAGAAGATTAAGCAACTGTAAATTCCCAACAAATTTCCAAATCTGCAATGAAGTTGACAAGAAAATATTTATGTTGCAATGAATCTCGCAATTATCTATTTTACAAATTTACTTTATTCAAAATCAGTTTTAGTCATCGCAGAACCAAAGATACACTTAATTGTACAGAGTCATAAACAAGTATAGTACCTTAAATGGGTCATCCTCCACTTTTCCATGTCAAGGGCATCCATACCCACATAAAGAAATATGAAAGTTTCTGCAATAAACGACATTGTTGCAAACACATGCCTGGAGAAGAGAAACCAAAATCAAAAACCAAGACCATGAGTCAGGAGATTACTAAACTCTACCATGGACTAACCAAATACCTGGTTGTGGTTCTTGAAGTTTCAGTCACATTATGCCATGCATAGTGTGACATTGATATTCCACAAAAGAAAACAGTGAGGATTCCACTTAGTTCAAGTAGCTGTATAAGAATTTTCGGATTAGATGGACGGTGAAAAAAAAAAGTATCTAAACTTAATAAAAAGCAAAAATCTCTAAGTTATATGACTGTCTGTTTTGACAAACTTATTTGAATTTTTCTGCCATTATAAGTACTTGTATAAAAATTTGATAAATAGCTTATTTGCAGCTTATAGTAAAAGCAGTTATCTTGATAAACACTTACATATAAGTTTACATAAGGTATTTCTACAGTAAAAGATAAAATAAAGTTAAATTGTTTTCATAAATTCTCCGAAACAATCTCACAAAATTATGTCACTACATAAGCTCAAATAAGTCCATCTAAATAGACCCTATATGGAACTTATGAAACAACTTATTTTTGTTGTAGAAATAGCTTATACATAAGAGCTTACTAGTATTTAATAAACACTTATTTTTTAAGTGCTTAACTAAGTTGTTTATTCAAACTGGGCCATAGTTCTTTAGGCTTGTAACTGGTTTGAAATCAATAAAAGACAAAATAGTGAGCATCCAATACCTCTGCCAACATGTAGGATAGATATGCCATTAACATCATCATTGAAATTTCACGAACACTTAAATGTCTGCATGCATATGCAGGGGAAAACTTGTTAACTTGTCCTCACATTTTCACCTTCATAACTCAAGAATATGAAATGGGATTGTCGAACTTTGATGTTTACATTTCAGATCAATCTTTAAATATTATTTTTAGAGAGCTTATAGAGAAAAATGTACATACTTTCCAAAGCTTAACGCTTTCAAGATATATGCAGTGACAAGTCCAACCTGCATAAACAAGAATTCATCGAAGTAATTAACATGAATTCCCAAGATAAAACTACGAGCATAATGCAATCGACTAAGTAAAAAATTATATAGGAAGCCGTGAATTCAGCTAATAACACTTGAAAAATCAAGTCTTGGTCAATTGTTGCCTACGATGCTCATTTAACAGTACTCACTATGACTCCAAGCGCAGTGCTTGCTGCGAATAGATACAAGAAATCACCAATAACATGGAGTGCCTTTCCGTTAAGTCTTGAAACATCAAGCTGTTGGACTGCATTGAAGAGTACAAGTGATGTTGCATCATTTACCACTCCTTCCCCAAAGACTAAGCTGTATAGTAAAGGAGTAGCTTCTTGATTAAGAACCTACAACAGCCTCCAAATGCAGTGTTGAAACTAAGATCATGTGGATATATAATTAAATGGAGAAAATTACTCATTGTTCATAGATCTAACCAACCTGTAGCGTACATACTGTGTCGGTTGAGGAGAAAATTACTCCTAAAGCTGAATCAAATTAAGATAAAAAAAAATTGTTATCCAAATATGTATATATAGATTTTTAATCATTATTTTTATAACAAAAACTCTGATTCAAAAGAAAATAGACAAGAAAAACACAAACAATAAACAAATGAAATTTGATCACAAAATTCGGCAAATTGTACCGACGTTTCCTACTATACAGTGGTTGTGCAGTACCGTTCTATAATTCAAGCTTAGGATTTAAGATTAAAACTTATATTTGAATACTACTGTCCAACTTAAAGATTACACTTGAAACATACCAACCGATTAAAAATACTATGTGTTTTTGCATAATATTGAGATGATGTAATTAATCTTACCAAGATAATCTCGCGCCGTCAGGTAAGAGAAACCCAACTTGGGAAACAGCCACCAGCTGCCTACGTGAACCAAATGTAAGGTGAATCCATGAAAATTATCGTAATGATAACGCTACAAGTTTAACAAAAGAGAAAAACTAAAAGAGTAGTCATTAGTCATTACCACCGGTAATAATAGATGTTGAAATGAAAACACCGACCACTCCAAACAGCATGATGGTCAAAAAGTTATGGAAGAACTGTTTCTTCTTCACTTGAAATCTGTTTGAAAAGATAAGTCAAAAACATCAAATTTTGGAATGTCAAGAGATGCTTCAAGTCTAAGACAAGAGAGAAAGTTTTACCCTGCATTGAATATTATAGGAGGAAGGAGATATATGAAGAATACTTCTTCATTAAAGGTAAGAATTCAAGAACTTTTTCCCTTAGTTATTAACAATATAACCAGTCCAGCAATGCATCCCTACCAAAGAGAACATGTTAGAGGCAAAGAGTATATTAGCACCGAGACCTCTGAACAAAGAATTGTCTGGTGTCTCATATGTGTCAGCATCGAACACCAACATGTTCATGATTAACAACAGGAATTATGATGAGACAACAATATTAACAGAAATAGAAATTCTAGATTTCATAATGAGTATGGATCTTACAACAAAAAATGGCGACAATCGATTCATTAACCCATCGAATTTCTTCAAGCAAGTGACCAATGAGTAAACATAGGCAAAGAACAGCGACAAAGAGTGTTATATGAACAACCTGTGCATGATCATGAGCCATATTTTTTTCCACATCAGATGTGAAATTAAGTGCAACCATCGTGCTCATCATCATGGCCATTGTTATTTTTCTTCAGTTTTTGAACAATGATTCTCTCAATCACACAAAAAACCTGTTGTATGGCGAAAGTTGATGTCAGAGAATCTGGTTAAGTTATTTTTGTTAGGTGAATTTGAGTGAACTCTAAAGTGAACAGTTAACCGGAACGGTTAGGAGATTTTTATTTTTTTTTTTAATTTTTATTTAAAAATATTAATTACAATTTATTAAAACCTTTAATTTAAATTAGAAATCTAAATGTTTTTGTAATTACAATTAACTATATAAAAAATGTTACTAACTATTAATTATATAAAAAAAAAGAATTATTAACTATAAGTTAAAAAAAGAATTACTAACTATAAGTTTAAAAAAAGAATTACTAACTATAAGTTATGAAAAATTTTACTAATTAGAAGCTATTAAAAAATATTTTTAATTATTAGTTATTTAAAAAATAAAGTAATTATTAGTTGTTTAAAAAAATACTTACTAACTAGAAGTTATTAAAAAATATTTTTAATTATTAGTTATTTAAAAAATAAATTAATTATGAGTTATAAAAGTTAATTAAATCATAAATTATAAAATTTAACATTAAATTATAGAGAAAAAAATAAAATAAAAGAAAACCGAATAATAAAAAAGGGGGGGGGGGGGGGGGGGGGCGGTATTCATGGAGACAACTTCTAGGTTTTGTTTCAAATCCCTCTTCTTTCTAAACGGCGGCGGCTCCCACGGCCATTGACGATTTTCGAAACTTTTCACTTCCTTCTTCTTTGCCTGTTATCCCTCCCTCTTTGTCTTGCTGAAACCTGAAAAATAAAACCCATAAATTCCGTTATTGACAAAATTATATGCTCACCTCAGCTCTTTCGGTCTCTTTTCTTTTCTTTCCCCTTCCTCTTGATTTTCTGATATTAATGAAGTTTCCTCCCATCACTTATGTTTATATGGGTAACAAATTAGGGTTAACTCTAACCTATTTTATTTTTTATGAAAATAGAAAAATTAGAATAAAAATAAAAGAAACAAAACAAAAAGTGAAGAAGGTGGGATTCAAACTTTCGACCTCTCACACTCACAACTCCTTACACACGGTCTCTTGCCAATTGTGCTATTTTATTCATTCAAAATAAAGTGGCACTAGAAACCCTATAAAGGTAGGATAAATTTGAGGTACTACAGTTCCCCCTATTTAAATAGATTCACCAGATGATATGAGTAGCAGAGACTCAAGGAATCACGGTGGAGGGATTTAAATACAGATAACCGAAAATTTTGCCCTTAGACACAATGCTATGCAATGATATGGACAAAATAAAACGAACTATAATGCTGACAATGCCATGAATCTAATATGATGCGTATAATGAAATGATGAATGCGAGGATGCAGACGACACGACGATACAGGGGAATATCTAAGAGATTGACGCATGACAGACTGACACTCTAGGACGACAAGGTAACACAGGATCCTCACGGCAGTAGGATCAGGTAAACGATAATTGCTAGAGTTTATGGGGCATTCCTTTAAATGAAGAGATCAAGCGGGATCTTTAGGAATCATCGGAAAATATACAGGGAGAAAGAAACATCCAGAAGAACATCGAATAAACTCGGAAACACACTAGAGACACTCGGAAAAACATCGGGTAGATTCTGGAAAACCATCATAATCGAAAGGAGTATCTGGAAAACCGTCAGATAAGTTCTGGAAGAACATCAGAACAAAGACTCAATATGGAAAACCATCAAAAGAGAAAAGTATCCGGAAAACCATCGGATAAATTCTGGAAAACCATCAGAATTGAAGGGATATCTGGAAAACCATCAGAAAGAGAAACGTATCCGGAAAACCATCGAATAAATTCTAGAAAACCATCAGAATTGAAGGGATATCTGGAAAACCATCAGATAAGTTCTGGAAAAACATCAGAACAAAGACTCAATCTGGAAAACCATCAGAAAGAGAAACGTATGTAAAGGTGACATCCAAGAATGACATTGGATAAAAAAGATACTAGACGTTCAATAATGGCTTTGAATGAAAGGTATGAACACAATATATGAGAATAGTATGGGATGTAAAAGGAACAGACATTTCTGGAAAACCATCGGATAAGAAATGTCATATCTGGAAGAACGTCAGATAGACGCGACACAAAATTGTTTGGTAGGTGCCAAGTGAGTTGGAATTTTGACCACAAGGTGAGACGTGGATAAAACACGGCCTTGGGAGAAATGCAAATGAGGATGAAACACTCATGATATGTAAATGTATATGAATTATGCTATGATATCTAACCAAATGCAAATGCAGATGTCGACGACAAGGCTCGACTCTTTTGGTGAAATGACAAGACTGGAAGACTAATTCCTCAACACATACATTATTGTCATTCTGCTAAACTGTATCAAGTTTATAGTCCCTTTAGGAAGTATGAATAGCTGCTTGGGGATCCTTCAAGTAAACTGCCCCAGATTAGCCGTTTGTTATAGATGAACCGATAATTACTTCAGCTTTTCTGATTCGTGAAGATGACCGTTTTACTGTACCCTTGGAAGGTCTGCCCCAGTCTGAGTATTGAAAAATATTTGGGATAAACCAAATCTGAGAATACCTAGTCTTGAGCAAGTCTCGAATTGATTCTTAGACAGGATTTGAAAGGAATTTGCCCCTGATAGGATCACCGACCAAGTTTCTCATTGTTTGAAAATTCCTTAGAGGAAAGCCGATTTGCAAACAAAAATATTCATTGTGCTCATCATCATGGCCATTGTTATTTTTCTTTAGTTTTTGAACAATGATTCTCTCACTCACACAAAAAACCTGTTGTATGGCGAAAGTTGATGTCAGAGAATCTGGTTAAGTTATTTTTGTTAGGTGAATTTGAGTGAACTCTAAAGTGAAAAACAGAAACAAATGCGCATCAACCGATAGGGTGTAACAGAAAAGATGACACGTTTTGTTGAATGCATGGAGAGTTAACGTGTCACTCTTTACCGTCAAGATCAATAAGCACGACACTGTGACACTGTTAGGGTTTGTTTCACGGTTTATTCATTTGTGTTATGTGTACTTTCATTGTCGATCATGGCATTACATAAATGTTGGAATTAAATAGTACTCCCTTCATCTCAAATTAGGGTTTGACACTCTCAACCATATTAAAAATATATAATAAATTAGGGTTATATTTGACACTCTCACTCATATTAAAAAAATATAATAAATAAAAGAGAAAAAATAATGATTTTATTAAACTATTATTGATCAACTATTAATATATTTAAATTATAATTAATGTAGGGTGAGAAAATAATAAATTAAAAGTTTAAATGTATTTTTGGTCCCTTATTTTTATGTTTTAAAATTTTAAGTCCCTCAATTTTAAAGGAATTTTATGACGTGATTAAGACAAAAAATTTATTTTTAATAAGAATAGTTTGAAATTGTTTAGTTTAAGTTTTAAAAGAATGTTGATGGGCCTAAGCCAAAGCCTAGAAATAAACAATTCAATTCACAAGTGAACATAGATTACTAAAACGTTTTTAAAGTTATATAAATATTAAAGTTTTTAATTAAGAAACGATGTGGGACTTTTATCCACCCTTTTCTGAAATTCTATTCATTGTTTGCTACGAATGATATTTACTAGTTTTTGCTGGTGTAAATTGTTGTGAATCGGATACCTTAAAACTAAGTATAAACAGTTTATTTATGATCAAGAAACACGCAAGGGTTAGGATTAATAAAGAAGAAAACAACAAGGATTGGTTTTTAAACTGTTATTCTTTCCTTTCTCTTAGAACAAGATTACAAGTATACAAGAATAACAAAATAATATCTCTCTCTTAAAATTAAGATTTTATCTTCCTATTTTTCCTTATGACAATTGGGCTTAGGGTACAAGTTAACTTAAACAATTGGGCTTACAAGCAAGGACCAATTCAACATGCTAACAACCCTAACAATATTGACTAATGCATGTTAGAACAAACTTCGACTACAACACGCATTACTCGCGAACAGACTTCGACCATACTAAAGTTTGATCCAACATCTCACAAATCTCCACCTTGAATCTAACTCTATAACATCAAGAAACTAGCTTTCTCCATGCAGCTTTATTAATTGCATACAGTGGAAAAACTTGCAACTGGGCAACGTCTTGGTGATCATATCAGCAGCATTATGATCTGTCGAAACCTTCAGCACTTGGACTTCTCCACGCTCGATTACCCCTCTGATGAAATGCAGCCTCACATCAATGTGCTTGGTTCACTCATGATAGGCTGAATTCTTCGACAGGTGTATTGCACTTTGACTATCACATTTGTCATGACATCAGTCAAGACATCTACACACATAACAATAGAAACAAATATATTATAGTTTCCTAAAAAGTCTCAAAGATCCTTTTTATGAAAACCAATTAAATATGCGCTTTGTTCCAAATAAGTCTCTTTGACCTTCACATACTAATGAGGTATATCCAACAGGATCTCATCAAACCAAAACACCTCTGTCAAGAGATATAACATAGCAGCTCCTGCTGTACCAGACAAAGATGTCACGACATCTTGATTAAAACACATGACAACAGTTCTGTCAAAACAATAGATGAAGATGTTATGACATCTTACTTAACATCAGTGCAGAATCCTGTTTTACCAAAATTTAGCCAATCATAGAATCATGGAACTAACAGGTTAGATATGGAAAAAAAATCAAAACATGCTTGAAAACAACCAAAAATCACATTCTGGTCCAGTGTTAATCGATTAACCATTTGCTAATGCAAACTAGTTAATCGATTAACCACTCAAAGATGGCTGAAATTGCATTGGTTAATCGATTAACTCATTTTCTACTGCAACTGGTTAATCGATTAACACTACATCAGAAGCAGAAAAACAACAATTCAAAAGCACTTTCAGCAATTATTTCGATGTGCAATCATCCAAATGATCATGTAATCAATTATGCACGAATTTAACACCAAACATCAGTGATCAAACATCAACCAAACTTAATCAAGCATCGAGATCACAAATCACATAGATCAAAATCATCAAAATCAATTAAAATTGAAGATCTACATTGTGATTATCCAAATAAGCTCAAAATAGAAATGGATATAGAATTAACCAACCTTCAAAACTGAGATTTGCTTTGATAATTGTTGATCTACTGCAAATTGATAGACCCAAGCTAAAAACTCAAGAAATCTTCAAGATCCAAGAGCTTTCTTGCAAGAAAAGTGAAGACCAAGCCAAAATAAGTCAAAATTGATCCAAGAATCACTTATAAACTTGCTTCCAAAATTAGATCCAAATCCAAATGAAAATCAAATGATGAAATGAAGATGATGGAGATGAATGATGGAGGTTTAGCTCTAGAATTCAAGGATTCCAATGAAGAATCAATGAACTCAAGTGAAAGAGCTTTAATGGAGTTTTGGAGTGTAGAAAAAGTTGAGAGAATTTGAGAGCAAATTCTAGATAATGAGTGTGAAATCAGAAAATTGGAAATTATGGTGAGGTTTGGAGCCAATTCACTTAAATAGACTCTTGGTTAGGAGTAGAATTATGGTATGGAGTGAGGTTTTGAAAATTGGAATGAGATTAGGAATGGAGAATTGGAGAAAAATTAGATTTATTTTGAAAGTTAATCAAAATTTAGGTGATTCTAGATCCTTCTTCTGGTGTAAAAATCAATTTACAAGTGATCAAAATGGACCCCAAAAGTGGCAGCATTAAAAATACAAGTATCTGGGCAAATTTTCCTTTGGTTAATCGGTTAACCATTTGCTAGTACAAATTGGTTAATCGGTTAATCACTCACAAACTTTTGAAAATGCGCCATTTGGAGGAAAACTTGCACATTCACCCGTTTTCACCCGTTCTGATCCTTGTTAAGCCTCTAAAACTTGCCCTTTGACATCATAACTGTGAAAATGCTTGAGATAACCTGTGACCTGTCTCCTGTGCTGAAAATAACCTGCCGAATAAAATAAAACGGTCACTCGATTGCTGGGCAAAATAAATGTTGAAGCCTCTGACGCTCACTGTTTAAACTCTTGCAATAAAAGAAAACCCTGAGCCATGGAAACACCTTGATTTCATGTCTCGAGAACCAATGTCATGATATGCAGAAATGCAAAATGCAGAGAAACATAAGTCAGCCGACTAAAAAAACGATGAGGCAAATTTCGGGGTGCTACAGCCTTGCTGGAGAAAAATTGCTACTTTTTAACGTTGTAAACTTTCTGTCAGGATTTGTTGGATGCTCGCATGAGTTCGCTTAAGCGAGAGTAAGGATTTTTTAATCTTTAAACTTTCTGCGAAGCCTCGCTAGATACTCGTTGTATCTCGCTTAGCGTGGTTGCAACTGCTATTCTTCCTTGCTTTGTTGTTCAGTTTGTCATATGCACAAATACATGTAAATATCAAGAGCAACAAACATAATTCTCTAGCTATCGTATCCAGACTCCACTTTATTCATAAATTGAGAAATTGATGTTAGAAACTAGCAAAATAAATTGATAAGTGTCAAATTTTAATGTGATCAAATAGTATACTTTTGACACTTATCACTATCTAAAAGCTTCCTACTTATCACTACCCTAGAAGCTTCCTACCCCCTGAAAACTATACCTTCCTCTATCTTATATTTTATATTTTGTACCTAAAACTATAAATCACAGTTCATTTTTATCCAGTAGCATCCTCCATCATTACTTCTCTAACAATGACTAAGTATACTCTCATATTTTGTACCCAGAGCAGATAACCTGTCACGAAGGATGAATGCTAAATTGCACTGCTAAATATGAAAGCATAATGAATAAAATTGTTATGAAAGCATAATGAATAAAATTGTTATGCAACATAAATCAGTAATGATAGTATCATATTCTATTAGTATGGTTACATTTTAACGTGTGTCATGGTAATGAATTGAAATATTAAATTGAAGTATAGAACATTGTGTTATTTGATGTGATGTGATGAAGTAAGTTATTGGTATCTATCCAACTAAATTGATGGGTATCAATGTGTTTATTTCGGAAGGTTAATTCTTTGGTATCGTTAATTTAAGTTGAGTACACGTATCTTTAATATAAATTATATTAAAATTTTAATTTATTTAAAAATAAAATAAAGTGTTTGATTGGTCGAAAATATTAATATCCAACTAAATTGAAGGGTACTAAATAATATTTTTAATTTAAATTGAGTACCCATACTTTTAATATAAATTGTGTTAAAATTTTAATTATTTAAAAATAAAATAAAATAAAAGTGATGTGGTATTGAATCAAAGTGTTTGATTGGTTGAAGATACTAATATCCAACTAAGTTGAACCATTAATTTAAGTTGGGTATCTGTATCTTTAATATAAATTGTGTTAAAATTTTAATTGTGTGTGTGGAGTAAATTTTGATACCATTAATTTAAATTGTGTACCCTATCTTTAGGATAAATTGTGTTAAAATTTTAATTTATTTAAAAAATAAAAAAAGTAATGTGATAAAGTGGAGTCTGGAGTGTTAAATTATTCATATTAAAAAAAGTATTAATATCTTCATTCAATCAAACACTTTAATTTAATGAATATATCAATACTCAAATAAATCGAAAGATACTGGAGTGTTAGATTATTCATATTAAAAAGTATTAAAAAGTAAATACTTTGGTATCATTAATGTAAGTTGGATATCCGTATTTTTAGTATAAATTATGTTAAAATTTTAATTAATTTAAAAATAATATAGTATTGAATCAAAATGTTTGATTGATTAAAGATATCAATACCCAACTAAATAAGAGTACCTGAAATGTTTTCCAAATTAAAATGCTATATTATATGGTTAAGAAAAAGAAGAAAAAGTATAGTCTTTGGAAAATTGATGTCAATGAAATTGTAAAGAAGGTGCTCTGGTGATGTCAACAAAGCTAGCGTGTGTACTTTATTTTATTTTCAAAATTTTTTCAAATTTTTTTATTTAAACACAATATAAAAACAGCGTAAAATAAAATTAAAAAACACATATATAAGAGTACTAATAAAAAAAAAGTTACATAAGGAAACATTAAAATTCAGACATATTACTAGATTAAACTACCACAAATTCAGATTAAAATAAATAAATAAAACTAAGCTTTTAAAGATTGACTTATCCTTTCACAAATGACTATAATTTCTAATCTATAAAAAATTATAAGTGTTTAAGTTCCAATCTTCCATGAAATTTTACAATAGTTCTTTCTATCACGGTCAAGAAATTTTAGATATTTCACATTGCCAAAACCACAAGAAAATGATAATTCTTCATTCAAAATTATAACTTCCTCTAACATATTGCACATTATAATTATGAGCATTGCTCATGAAACATGTGAGTTTTGAACTATAAGAAGTTCCCTTAATTTCCTTATACTCATTCCACCATTTCATATAGCTACTTTCACTTAAGAAAATCTCTGGTGACACTGCATATTCCATAAGCAATCCATAAACATATTTCTCAAACTCAATCAATTTTCTTGTTGCATCTTCCTTTTCATTGACACTAGATTTCACATCCCTCAATTGTTTGCATGAAATTAGAGCCTCTTCAACATAAGCCCAAAAGCAAGAATCAAGAGTTAAAATTGATTCCACATCATCTCTAGTCACATTTTGTGAATCACTTGTGGTGGATTGTGTTGTTGCTTCTTCTACAAGCCAATTCTCCAATTGTTTGTGGTGGCTAGATCTTGCTTTAGCCACATAGTCTTTACCACCCTTGCCATAGTATTTAGCAATATCTAATGGTTCAACCATTCTCCTATAAGTTGTTCCTCCGTAGAGCCAACGAGTACGAAGCGATGCTTCTTCTTTTTGTGGTTTCATCAATGATTTCTCGACCATTTCGTTCCAATAAAATGTGAGACTTTTATGGCTTAAAACAACGTCTTGGTCACATGTGAACTCCATTCTCTTGTAACTATCATAATATCCTAAATTTCGATTTTTCGATTTCTTCTTGTACCATTCAAGGTCCACCATGTCTTTCTTCATTAAACTCAATTTTTTTGATGAATCAAATTTATCCCTCTTCTCAAAAATAAATTTTTTCTCTAAGTCCTCCATCTTTTTAACCAAAGTAAAGATATCAATTTCTTGTTGTTGCTGGAAAAAAACACAATTTGTGTGAAAGAGATCAATAAAAATTGTACATACCAAAGACAAATACTAATTGTATAAATGACTTGCACAGTAATTCTAATACGATTTTCACGATGTAAGTCACAATATTACAATATCGTGATTTTTTATGAGTATATAACTAGAATACGATTATGATCAAGACTGTATATGACCGCAATTCTCCGTATAATTTCAAACATTGCACAAAAAATATTGAGATACCTGCATATGTGGATTCAATCCTAATGTCAACATCTGCAAGCTGATACATGCATGTAGTGAATCAGAATAACTCATGTCTTGATTCTGATTTGTTATGTCCTTGCAAATTGCTATTCGATAAATCCTGTCAACAATGTTTTCATACTCTATAGAATCAAACACTTGATTTTGATCATGGACTAAAGTCTCAAGAATTGTCAAAACAGAATCAAGATTCTCAAAACAAGTAGAATATGAATCATAACACATGAGAAATGTTCCGAATGGCACATAAGAACTAGTATGATCTTCGATGAACTTCCTTGGAAGTGGATCATTGCAAGAAACAATGTGCAAAAAGCATGAACTCCATGTACAACTTTTTGATATGGCTTGTTGCAATTCTTTGTCACCAATTAAGGGAGAACCAAATGTGATGCAAATAGGTTTTTTCTTTTTCGAATCAATGCTTTCTAGTAGTAACAAAGTGAAGAGTGAAGCGATGGATCCTCCGAGAGCAACTCCGGTGATTATCAACTTCGATGAGGTAATAACCTAAATTACGAGCGTTGTTATTCTTAATACATTTCAGTTAAAGACGAGCCGTTCAAGAAAACTCAAATTCGAAAAAGAAAAAGATGTACCTCGGATTTCAACTGATCGAGCATACGATGATTGTCAGAGAAGAGTGAAACAAGAGTGATGTTAAGAGAAATGTTTTTAGTAGACAAAAACTCAAAATTAAGGGAATTATTTTCCTTGAGTTTAGTAAAAGAAACCAATTTTGATTGAAGTATGAAAGAATCTGAAGGGTTGGCTTCAAATGCTATGATTGAAACATCAGTGTTTGGTTCTTTATAAAGTTTCCATGATAGTCCAACACCACCATTTGAAGCAATGTCTACATTACGAGATTTGATAACATCCCATGATTTTCTAAGAAGATTAGAACTTGTTACAAAAGATGCAAGTTCAATTCCATTGCTAAATCTACAAAACACAAAAGACATAAATTAATTCAATATAAGATAATCAATATTAATTCAAAATTTAAATAAACAAATAGAAAGATAAAATACAAGAAAAGAAAGATGAGAAGGAGGAATTCACATACAATTGAGATTGGACCATTGTGGTAGAGAAAAAGCAAGTTGAAGAATTTGAAGTTTGTGAATTGTGAAGGAGAAAGTGTTGATATATAAAGAGTGAGTGAAAAGTCTCTTTGGAAGAAACAAAGGAAACTCATAGGAAAAGTGAAGGAAATTCATAGGAAAATTGGGAGAGGGAAAATATCCCCACCACCTTCCATGAAAGTCTATTAAAATTGACATTCATTGTCTTTTAGATTTTATAATTTGATTTATTTACTTATTATTATTATTATTATTATTATTATTATTATTATTATTATTATTATTATTATTATTATTATTATTATTATTATTATTATTATTATTATTTATATTAATTTTAGTATTTTATTTATATTAATTTTACATTTCAGTATTTTATTTATATTAATTTTATTGCAATTTTAGTCTAAAAACTTATATCTAGTCTAAAAAATTATCTTACATTTTAGTATTTTATTTATATTAATTTTATTGCAATTTAACCTTTAACTTACACATTTCAAAACTTTTTTTTAATTAACATACATGAAACTTATTAAACTTATGAGCACGTGTAAAATTAAAAATAAAGAGATAAAATTGTCAAAGAAAGATAAAATATTAAAAATAAAGCAATATATTTGTGAGAGAGAAATTGAATATTATTTTTTAAATGATTATAATTTATACGTAAAAGGATGATTGAAGTAAAAGAAATTAAGAATTAAAATTGTTGGAAAAATGTATCGGGCTTTTTTTTTTCCATGTTCTAGTCCTTTACTGTAGGCCCATTAACCATTCTTTTTTGGATATACGTTTGTTGCAGTTTCAGTTAAGGCTAACCATAATTTTTCATGACAATTTTTTAGCACACCCCAAGTGTCTCTAAGACAACGTGCATGTTTTCAAAAATACTTCTCATTTTTAAAGATATATCTCCCGACGCAGTATAATACACACATTTCATTTGTTTTCGAGTCAAATCTTAATTTTATAAATATATTTATTTTAAAAATAAATTTCCGAAAAAATTCCAAAAATATATTTTTGAAAAGTTTCAAACACATAATTATCTTAATCTTTCATATATCATAAGATTCCACTAATTCTTACTTTTGTCAATCACTCCTAATCATCGATAATAAAACTAATCTAACAATTGGTGATTTAAGTTCTATGGTTAAAACGAGGGTTCTAATTGTTAAATATGTAATTCATTATTTTAGAAAGATTAGATTTTATTTAGAAAGATCAGATTTGATTTAAAAAGATTAGATTAAATATTCTTGAGTTTTTATAGTTTGGGCTTTAACTCGAGATGCAAGTTAACTTAAATCTATAAATAGGGAGAAACCCTTATCATTGTAATCATCAAGTTTGATAATCTCGATTTTACAGTTGCAAAGTGATAATAAAATTCCACAGTTGTAGGCAGAGAGTTACTCTGCAGTTTATACTCATCTTCTTTAAAAGTGTTCTTGTTTTTTTCATAGTCATTACATAACAATCTTAAGATCAAGATTGAGAAGAATTCATCATAGATCGTGGTTGAATTCCAACATCTGGTATCTAGAGCTTCGGTTTTTATTCAAGAGAAGAACAACTGTGATGGCGATGAATCACCCGAACGGTCACTTTCCAGCAAATCTTCCATTCTCAAGAAAGATAATTATGAGAATTGGTGCAAGCAGATTAAGGTGATTTTCTGTTACCAAGATCTTTGGGATCTTGTGAAGGAGTGATTATCACCGCTTGCAGAAACTGCGATAAATCCGGAGAAAGCAGCATATAAAGAATTGAAGAAGAAATATTATAAAGCTCTTTTTATAATCCATCAATGTGTTGATCTAGATAATTTAGAAAAGGTTAGTGATGTAAAATAAGCAAAAGAAGCTTGAGAGATTCTTGAAAAATTGTTTGGAGGCACAGAGAAGGTGAAAGAGGTGAGGTTACAAACTCACTAAAGGACTTATGAATTGCTTCAGATGGAAGACAATGAAAGTATAACGAATTTCTTCACTAGAGTAACAAAGTTGATAAATCAAATCAAGGTATATGGAGAAGTGTTGACATCAAGATGAGTTGTGTCAAAGATCTTGAGGTCATTGGCTCCAAAATTTGACCATGTGGTAGTAGCCATAAAAGAGTCGAAAGACTTGTCAGTATTGATAAAGAAAGAGCTTCAAGGGACGCTTGAGTCTCATGAACAAAGGATGGATGAAAGAGCTGCAGGAAAGTCGAAGAGTGATATGGCTTTGCAGGTGCAGTCAGAAAAAGAAAGGAAAGGCAAAGGAAGTTGGATTGACAACAAAAGTAGAAGAGGCTACACCAATTCGAGTGGTCGAAATCATTATGAAGGAATTTGGTCGAATTAGAGAAAACACTGGAACCAAGGAAACCAAAGAGGTGGTGTTGCAGGAAGATGTGGTTGCCGAAAGCCTGACAAAAATCACATTCAGTATTTCAATTGTCAGAAGTATGGTCACTATTTTAGTGATTGTCCAGAAAAGAAGAAGAATCAAGAAACTGATGCAAAGTTGGCGAAACATGAAGAATAAGAGATGTTGTTGATGTTCACAACAAGAGATAAAGAAAGATTCCAGGACCATTGGTACTTGATCTCAGGATGCTCATCACACATGATTGGAAGGAAAGATTGATCTGTTAACATGAAGCCCTCGTCGAAGAACACGGTGAATTTTGCAAATGACAATACTCTAGCAACTGAAGGTGTTGGTGATGGTCAGATCGTGAGGAAGGATGGCAAGAAATCAATAATTTCCAATGTGTTATACATACCAGGCATGAAAAGTAACCTGCTCAGTATAGGACAACTTGTCATAAGAAACTACAAGGTAGTTGTCAAAGACAAGATGATGAGAGTTCTCGACGCAGGTGGTAGGTTGATCTTGAAGGCTCCAATGTCTCAGAATAGGACCTTCAAGATTGAACTCAATATGATGGAGCAAAAGTTCCTAGCAACTGCATCCAGTAGAGATGAATGGTTATGGAATTTTCGACCAGGCCATCTCAACTTCAATGACATCAGAGAGCTAAAGAGAAGAAATATGGCTTCAGGATTACCTGAAATCGACATTCCATGTGAAGTATGTGAAGAGTGTGTTCAGTCGAAACAACACAGGAATAACTTCAGCAAGGATGCTGGAAGGAAGTCAAAGGCAATCGTAGAAGTCATATACTCTGATGTATGTAGTCCAATCTAGGTGGATTCGATATCAAGCAACACATACTTTGTAACGTTCATAGATGATTATAGTCGAAAGTTATGAACTTACCTCATCAAGAAGAAAAGTGATGTGATCGAGGTATTTGTTAGATTCAAATCTATAGTCGAAAGACAGAATGGTCGAAAGCTGAAAATTCTGAGGATTGATGGTGGTGGAGAGTATGTGTCGAAAGAGTTCGATGCATTACATGAAAAAGAAGGGATTATGCATGAGATGGTGTTATCCTACACTCCACAACAAAATGGAATTGCAGAAAGAAAGAACAAAACCATCATGAACATGGTGAGAAGTATGTTGAATGGGAAACATATACCCTAAGAATTATGGGGAGAAGCAGTTTCGATAGCAACATACATATTAAACAGATGTCTGATGAAGAAGCTTGAAGGAATCACACCAGAAGAATGTTGGTCTAGTATGAAGCCTAACCTCAGTCACTTGAAGGTGTTTGGATCTATAACACATAGACATGTGCCAGATCAGTTGAGAAGGAAACTTGATGACAAGTCGAATCAGATGATCTTGATAGGACATCATTCTACTGGAGGTTACAAGCTATTCGACCCAGTGAATAAGCAGATAGTGGTCAACAGGGACGTGATTATAAACAAGCTTAAAGAATGGGATTGGACTGAGAATGTCAAGAAGGATTCAGTGAGAATCTCTTGTGAAGAACCAACCATTAAAGTCGAAAAAGAAGTTCAACAAGAAGAAGTCAGTGGTGAAGCAGACCTCAACGACTGCAAGGTTGCAAGAATGTGTGATTACATCAGATGATGTGGTCGATGAAGATGGTGAACAGGTACACTATGTTTTCAATGCAGATGTCAAACTAGTCAATGCAGCTGTGGCATTGAAAGATTCAAAGTGGGTGAAAGCAATGAATAAGGAGTTAGAGTCCATCAAAGTCAATAACACCTGGTCACTTGTCGAATTGCCTCAAGGCAAGAAGGCAATTAATGTAAAATGGGTTTATAAGGTGAAAGTGAATCCTAAAGGAGAGGTAACTCAACACAAGGCGAGACTTGTGGCGATAGGATTTCTTCAAAAGGAAGGAATCAACTTCGGCGAAGTGTTTGCACTTGTTGCTAAGATTGAAACAATCAGGTAGGTTGTTGGTCTAGAAAATATAAACAATTGACACACATGTTAGATGGACGTGAATTGTACATTCCTTAATGGCCCTTTAGACGAAGAAGCTTATGTCTCTAAAATACTTTTTTTATTTTAATATGAGATTATACTAATTTGATGAGTTATAAAAATAGTGAATCTCTAAAATCTAATAAACATTTTTTATTTTCGATTTTCTATAAGATTTTCGGCTTGAAAAAACTTTTATATTGATTAGAAGGCTTGAATTAGAGTTCTAACACTTGAAAAGAAAATCCTAATGGTCCAAGTAAGAAAATTGGCATACCGCTTGAATTAGCTTTTTTTTTCTTTCTTTTTCCCCTTACTCCAAAATGCAAATACCTAAACTTGCACTAGTACATTGGAGTTAGACTACCTAGGTTCTACCCTTAGGAGTACCTTTCAATCAAGCTGTAAAAAAAGTGTCTCCCAATTTAATGGGTAGACTTTATTGAAGGCCATCTGACAAAGGTAGCTGGCATAATTTATATGACACTGACCCCATGAATCAATCCATGCCACCAAATCCAAAAGGACAAAAACAAAAACATAAAAAATATGTTCCCACTTTCCACAATAGAATCAATTCATCAAGATCATACTAACTTCATATTAATTATACTCCTGAATTTTCAACAACAAAATATACTTCCATAATTCCATGTTAAATTTCTGGACCACGAAGATCCCACACATAACATACTACTAGTAGTAATTAATTATCTTGCATAATGTAATGCTGGTCCCTAGTTATTTAATAAACCAGCAATTTTAAACCTCAATCACTATCACATTAATTTTTCTCACTCATAATTAGGTGTGTGAATTTGTGTATCTATGGACACTTGTATTTGTTGCCACGAGTCAACATGTCAGTGTAGCATTTGCCACACTTTTCTCTGTTGCCATAAGTTCCTGGAGGTACACATTTGCAACGGTTACAACATGTCACGCATGCTCTCAAACATAAGTTCTTTCTTGAATGTAATTGGCACCTATAACCACATAGTGGAATACAATCTGCCAACAAAATAAACATACAAAGTCTCGTTAATTCATCACATCTCACTAACATTAACATCAAAGGTTTTTATTTAGTTACAGTATAACCGTAGCAAATTTTGTATGATTTAGTGACAGTATAACCGTAGCTAAATATTCATGAGACTCTTTTTAACTAAAACTGACATAGAAATGGAGAGTGACTTACCCTTCCATGATTTGACGATAGGAGTAGATGGTGCTGGTGGAGTTTTAGCAACAGGTGGCTGAGAAGTTGGTGGCTGAGTTGGTGCTGTGAACGGTGGTAGTAATGGTGGTTTCACAAAAGGTGGTGATTGGTAAGGTGGTGTTTTTGTCAATGGAGGAGAAGGAGGAGCCTTCACATTTGGTAGAGTTGTTGGTGGTGCCTTCACGTATGGTGGAGTTGTTGGTGGTGCCTTCACGTATGGTGGAGTTGTTGGGGGTGCCTTCACCGGAAAAGGCGGTGTTGGAGCCGTCACTACAGGTGTTGGTGTTGGTTTTACTGGCGGAGCTAAAACAGAAGGAGCTGTAGGGTTTGCATAGTTCACCTGCACCAAATGAAAATTTTCTATCTTTTTTTCTTTTTTTTAAACCAACAATTTTAATATTTATTATTAAAAAAAAAACTTCTAGATAGTGACAGTATAATTTATGGAACAACTTTCTTATAAGATGTTTTAAAGGAATCAAACAAAAATAGAAATGGAAATTTTGTAAGAGTTAAGAACATACCACTATTTTGAGATCTTCCTCATACGAATAAACCTGCACATAAATATATATATTATTTTAAATTTAAAGGTGTTTATGCAAGTTAAATATAACACTTATTCAAGAAATTAGTAATTGTTATATTTAAAATAAATATTATTTTCACCACCGCATTTTTTGTGGATATTTATGTGCTGATGATGAATATGTGAAAGGTAGAAAAAAGATTATACCTTAGTGGCCACCACAAGAAAAATGCCTAGAAGAAGAATGGATTTTGAAGCCATTTTTTGGAGCATGGACAAGAAAGAAAGAAGAGTAATCTAGTGAGTGTTACTTGAAAAACCTACTAGTCTTGAGTTATATAGAGATCAAGGTTGGAGAGAGAGAAACCAAAAAGGTTAGGTACATTAAATTAATAATGCAATTTAATGTATATGAGTTATAAGAAGGGGCATCATTTTTGTAAGTGGTTTATGCACTAATATACATGGTTATACATATTGTAATGTATAGTACAAAGTAGTCTCAGAAATTGTTTAGGTGTATACAGCTTCTACCCACGTGCCTCTTTAACATTGTGTCTACTAAACTATTATATCTAGTTTTCATGAGAGTGTGTGTTGCCACTAAGACTAAGCTATATAGTATGCTATTGGTATTAAATTGGGTTGAACTCAAAGCTTATCTTTTGGAGTTAGTATTGGGACCATACATTAGATGTATGTTAGATCTTGAATTTCATGACATGTTTTTTAACTAGGACACCTTGGTTTGACAAACTCATCAGTCAAAGACTAGTGGCTATTTTTAATGGTAGACTAGTGGCTCTATTTGGATCATGGTATCACATAGTTGAAAAAAGTGATGGAGGATGAATTTCTGGTTGAAGTGTTTAATTATTTCTTTTTAAATACAAAGCATTATATTGTTAGCAAGAAATCTATTATTCATAAGTACGATTTTGTTTTGATTATCTTTATTTTTTAGAATAATTTTTCTATAATAATAACATAAATTGAAAGAATTAAGATAAGAGGAATTAGTTGTTCAATCAAATAATATGTATCAGTCTTTCTTATCTTTTTTAGAATTTCACACAATTCATATATAGATGATAAATTATTTAAATCAGGATGACCAACAACGTCAAAATAAAAGTGTTGAAGTTGATATCTAAAACTAATTCTCTCTTGCTTATTAAAAGCTGTATGATATAATTTATTTACAATATTACATATATTATTTATATAAAATGTTTTGTAAATATTCTTAGAAATCAAATTGTTGATTAAACTTAAAAGATTTATTTATTGCTTACAAAACTTATGATTAAATTATTGTAGTTGTTGATCGATTGTAACACAAAAAAGATTCACTCTAAAATATTGACTCATAATGATGTGATCCATTTGATGAGGCTCACAAACTTCACACTTTATATAAATCGGATTACAATTAGGAGAATCAATATCATATTTTTCACAAAACAATATTAAGTTTTTCAATAAACCATCTCACCCATCATCTCTCAATTTTTGAATTAATGTTTTTGTAGCGTGACTAACTGCAAGACATTAAGTATATCTTGAGATTTCTGTTGTAAAGCTTCACACAAACGATCTATAATTCTTATAAGATCTCTCATCATGTGCAAAATTAATGTGAAATCAAATGATTTCATAAACTTATAAGTAGCATTAACATCCCCATGTGTAGTATAACTTCTCCCATTTTTCTAATATTTGTAAGAACGACACAAGTTCAATTATGCAAATCTGTCAAACTACAAATAGAAGAAAACTGTGAGCTCTAACATGTATCTGCGACTCATTTCAAAGTACCAATCTGATTTTTTTTCCCTTTACCGCTATCATGCTCACCAATATCTAGAAAATGTGAAATCTCCTCAAAATGACATTTTGCAACTCACCATGACGCTTACTAGAGGAACATAGAACATTCACTACTACAAAATGTATATACAACAATGTCATGGTTATCACGGTACCACGAAGGACCATGGTGACATTTTCTACTAAACGCGCAGACATTTTCATTTACTTATTAAAATTTTGATATAATATAATCACGAATGAAAGATACAACCTTGGTTAAATAATCACCCTTTCATGGGTTCGAATCTCAACATCCTCAAATATTTTATTTCTTTAACATTTAGTCGCGCCTTTATATTTTTATTTATTTTTAATTTTAAAATAAATTTGATATCATCACGGTTGAGTAACTCAAATGTTATGACTTGTTTTAAATATTTTTAATTGTAATGTACTGACGCCTCAAATGTTTTATTTCTTTAACATTTAGTCGCACATTTTTATTTTTATTTATTTTTAATTTTTAAATAAATGTGATGTCATCACGGTTGCGTAGCTGAATTGTTGTGACATATTTTTCATTTTGAGTTAAATATTTTAAATTGTAATATATTAGCGCTTCTTTTTGAAATTTAATTAAGCAAGTAATATATCACCATGGTTTCGGTTGTTGACCGTGGTGGTATCATTCATTCAATTTTGTCACAACTAATTAACTTGTCTCTTCAGTAGTCATTCTTTGCTGAGAAATGATACGATACGAAACATCATTTCAACCCTAACATTCAGTACTGAGAAGCGAAACACCATATCATCCCTAACATTCATCGTTCATCATCACCGTTCATCATTTTTTCATCAGTTGTTCAACAATTCATCTTTTTCCATCGATCCATCATTTTTTATTCGTTGTTCATTTTTAACCTGTAGTCATCGATTCATTTTCAACCCTAACACCAACGCCAACACTAACATCATCGTCATAGTCAAGGAGGAATACAACAACAACATTATCTGTTTCAACTCAAATATTCACCTTTACTTAGTTATCATGTTTACGGTACGTAAAACTTTTTTTCCATGCATCTACAATAAACTTTAGTTTCCATTGTTGTTGATGTTGTTCTTGTTGCTTTTCTGGTTGTTATTGAATGTGTGTGATAAAACTTGATTGATCTTTTGTTGTGGTTGTGGTTGTTGGTGTTTTGAATGTGTATGTGATAATAGATGAAAGAGTTGTTGTTCATGAGGTTGTTATTTTTGAAAATAGATGTCGTCTTCGTCGTATTCTTCATCTAGTGGCGAGGAAACTATGATAAGTCATACTTAAAACAAAAAGAAAAGATCATAAAGAGGTGCTATAATGCTTACCAAAGTAACAAAAGTCCACAAATCTAGTAAAAAATTGTCTACCGTGTTTGATTCATATTATAGAGTAGTTGATGATGAATACTCTTCGTTTTTTAAGAGTTATGTTACGCTTCTTTGACGTAGCAAAGTTAGTATATTGATAGATGATTGAACACAAGCGTCAGGGGCTGTCAAAGATAACATATGGACAAATGTTAAGGTATTAATATTAATTTTTATCATTTCGATATGATTTTCTATAATTTCTAATACATTCTTATTGATTTAAATGTAGTTGACTTTTGAGTTTACAGATGGTGATAATCACTTTTAAAAAGTGGGTAAGTCATGTTGGTACGTATTGGAGGAGCTTTAAGTCACAACTCACGTGTGACTATATTAGGAAGCCTAAGATTGGTCTTGAGCGTCCATTGGTGAGATATAGTTTTCTCTCGAAGAAGTGGAAGTGGACTCGACTAAGACCAAATGGAGAGTACACCTCAGATGCGTCAAGAACAGTTGTTGAGAAAATTGTAAGTATGACTTGTTGTGCGTATGTTATGTGTTATTTAAATGTTGTGGTAATTACAATATTAATATTATCATGCATATATGTTGTGTAGGATCTGTTGGTTGAGAAGGCCTGTGGAGGCTCATTTGTTCCAGAACCACGACATGATATACTAGTAGAAGCTATCAGAACAAATGAGCATCGTGAGCGCGTTCGTGGTGTTGGAGAAGACGTCGGCCTGCGATTATACTTTGGTCCAACTAAAAAAAAAGCGCTGAAAACACCGAATTACAAGCGCAAAGAGAAAAAATTGCGGCGGTTGAGAAGGAGTTAGAAGAACATAGGAAGATGTTAGAAGTTGAGCGGGAAAGTCAAAAGAAAGACATAGAAAAATTATAAGAGTTATATAAGGTATGTGTTTTATCTTAAATGCTAGTGTTTTATCTTAAATGTATGATATATTGTGTTTTATCTGAAAAGTTAGAAAATATGGAAATGTGTTTATTATGTATTGTGTTCAAAACGAATATTATATTATAGAGAATAAGTGGATCCTTTCAACAACATACGGATGAAAATGATGATAATGTCGATGATCAAGTTCTCCAAACAAATGTTGTACGTCTTGCTAGCACCAAAGGAAATAATTGTTCATTCACCCTCGCTCAAGAGGTCAATAAGATATTGGATCCTTCCGCAAATGAAATCACCATGTTATACATGTTGGTTGCGGAAAGCGATGACCCGATTCCTCTTCAGCTAGAGCATTATCCAACGATAGAAATCTTATATTCTCCTCCTAGTGCCATACGAGATTTTCTATAAGGATTTAAATGGCTGGACGTAAGGATATTGCAAGTTTGGTGCATCTAAGTATATAATTGAATATGCATGTCATTATATATAATACATTATCATTTTTGAATTTCCTCGCTTATTTTTAAAATTTTGTTTAACCATTTAGGTACATTCATCGTGTTTGTATAAAGTTAAATAAATCGAATAATTATGGCATCTTGAGTCTTACATTTAACCATTTAGTATTTGATGGACAAATAATAATCTTAAAGGGATTGACTCTTACATTTCAGAAAGAATGTTACTTAGCACCATTTCTCAAATCGTAAGTAATTTTGAAATTGTAGTTTATCTATTATAGTTAATTTTGTTTTAGAAAATAGTAATTATATATATTCCCGTGTTTATTCAGTGATCATTGACAATTGATCATCATCTCGCTTAGGAAGAATACGATAACGACATTGTATTCCTTACATAATCCATTCGAACCTAAAATGAAGCAAATTATTAATTGGTAAGGTTATGTTTATATGAAACTTTTTAGTATTATTTTCTTTGACTTTGTAATTGGTTTAACGCGTAATATGTTTAAATCATTTTCAATGTACAGTGTTGTGCATCAACACAATATGTTGAACAATACTAGGAAAAAAACCCAACATTTCTCATGCCTCATGTAAGTGGACATATTACTTGTGATATTCATTTATATATATTGTTACATGCATGTATAGTGATTATAATATTCATGAAATTAATGTTTATTTTTGTAAACGAGGAAACAACCAAAGGGATACGA